CTGCGGACCCGACAGAGGACCCCGCGGAGGGGGACGAGGCTCACGGAGCCCAGGGTCGCCACCCGGGCCCGACCCTTGCCCGCGGGGCCCGGCCTCGCCGCCCACCTCCGGGTACTTGGGGTTCTCGCTGTGGTAGAAGAAGTCGCCCCGGCGGACGATGTCCACGTGCGGGTCCTCCAGCTTGGACAGGCTCAGCGGCCTGAAGTTGTCCACCTTCTCGATCAGGCCTGGGGGGACGGCGGGTCGGGGGACGGCGCCTCCCTGCAAATGCTGCTTGCGAATCGCCCCGCCAGGCCCCAGCCCCGACCCTGCAAATGCTGCTTGCCCATCCCCCCGCCCAGCCCCAGCCCTGCAAATGCTGCTTGCCAATCCCCCCGCCCAACCCCGACCCCAACCCTGCAAAGCCAGGTCTGCGAAACCCTCACCCTAACCCCAACCCAGCAAAACCCAAGCCTGCAAATCCCCCCGCCTAACCCTAACCCAGCAAAACCCAAGCCTGCAAATCCCCCGGCCTAACCCTAACCCCAACCCTGCAAATGCTGCTTGCCAATCCCCCCGCCCAGCCCCGACCCTGCAAATGCTGCTTGCCAATACCCCCGCCCAGCCCCGACCCTGCAAATGCTGCTTGCCAATACCCCCGCCCAACCCCAACCCTGCAAATCCTGTCTGCAAATCCCTCCGCCCAACTCGAACCCCAAACCTGCAAAAGGCGATCTGCGAATCCCCCCGCCTAACACGAACCCCAACCCTGCAAACCCCAGGTCTGCGAATCCCCCCACCTAACCCTAACCCGAACCCCCCCACCCCACCCCCGCCCACCCGGCTGGGCCCCTCCCGGGCGGGCGAGCACGGGCAGACAGCGGCCGTCCCGGCCTCCCTCCCTGGCCTCCCTCCCGCCGGCTGCTCGGGCCCAGGGCTGCGCGGGCGAAGGTCGTCTCTGGAAGGGCCCGACCCACCTGCCGAGAGGAAGAACCTGCCGATCTGGACGAAGGGGGCCGTGGCCGTGAAGGACTCCACCGCCATCGCGCTGCCGGGGGACAGAGACACAGAGATGAGAGACAGAGAGAGAGATGAGAGACGGACAGAGACAGGCGCACACACAGAGATGAGAGACAGAGAGACGGACAGACACACACACACACACACAGACACAGAGACAGACAGAGATGAGAGACAGAGAGAGAGACAGACAGAGACAGAGAGAGATGAGAGAGAGACAGACACACACGCACACACAGAGATGAGACAGAGAGAGATGAGACAGAGATAGACAAAGACAGAGACAGAGATAGGGAGAGAGAGACACACAGAGACAGACAGAGATGGGAGACAGAGACAGAGATGAGACAGAGACAGAGAGAGATAAGAGACAGACAGAGATGAGAGACAGACAGACAGACGGGGCGGTGGGGCCGGGTGTCCCCTCCCCCATCTGATGCACCTCCCCCGGCCTCGAACCCCTGCCCCCCGCCAGCCTGGCCGCGTCACCGCGCCCCCCACTGCCGCTGAGCGGCCTCCCTCGGCTGGCCCAGCCGGGTGGAAGGCCGCCGCCTCCTGGAAGCCCTCCTCGCCTGCCCGTCCCCCAAGGGCGGACTGTTGGCAGAGCGGGTCCGGCCCCGTCCCTGCCCGTCCCTTTAGGGCTGGGCCCGCCCCGACGCGGTCACCTGCTGAGGAGCTTGCCCGGCCAGGGGGACAGCTCCCGGCTCTGCTCAAAACCACGCCCGTGCTTTCTTTTTCTTTCTTTTATTTTTGAGCCAGAGTCTCGCTCTGTCGTGGGCTGGAGCGCCGTGGTGTCAGCCTCACTCACAGCAGCCTCCGACTCCTGACCTCAAGCGATCCTCCTGCCTCGGCCTCCCTCCCGAGGAGCTGGGACTACAGGCCTGCGCCACCACACCCGGCTCATTTTTTCTATATATGTTTTTAGTTGTCCAGCTCATTTCTATTTCTTTAGTACAGACAAGGTCTCACTCTTGCTCAGGCTGGCCTCGAACTCCTGACCTGAGCGATCCTCCCTCCTCGGCCTCCCAGAGTGCTGGGACGACGGGTGAGAGCCACCGCGCCCGCCCCATCCTGTGCTCCCATCAGCCCTGGAGGCCGAGCGGCCTCCGCTCCGTCGGGCCTCACCTGGGGTTCTTGTGGCCGATCTCGCGGTCGAAGTTCCTGCTGTTGACGATGTCGGACCTCCACTCCGTGTCTGCTCGGAGGGAGGGGCGGCTCAGGGCCACGAGGCCGGGGCCAGGGACCCGGGCCCACGACCCGAACCCGGGGGCCCGCGACCCGAACCCGGGGCCCGCGACCCGAACCCGGGGCCGCGACCCGAACCCGGGGGCCCGCGACCAGAGCTGGGACCCGCGACCCGAACCCGGGGGCCCGCGACCCAAACCCGGGGCCCGCGACCCGAACCCGCGACCCGGCGACCCAGGGCCCGCGACCCGAACCCGGGGCCCGCGACCCGAACCCGGGGGCCCGCGACCCAAACCCGGAGCCCGCGACCCGAACCCGCGACCCGGCGACCCAGGGCCCGCGACCCGAACCCGGGGCCCGCGACCGAACCCGGGGGCCCGCGACCCGAACCCGGGGGCCCGCGACCCGAACCCGGGGCCCGCGACCCGAACCCGGGGCCCGCGACCCGAACCCGGGG